TTTATAGGGCATGATTTTACCCAATATTATTTTCAAACTAGCAATTGAGTCCAGAGACTAAAGCAAGCTAAAGAAAATAAGACTTTTATTTCTGTATTGTGTGTCATATTCATGAGAAAATGTAAAATCAATTTTGCTTATATGGTCATTATCAAGAATATGAAAAAATAATCTGTTGATAGCTAATTCCATCATACTCGCAAAAAGAAGCCATTTGGTATAGACATTGTTTAAATAAACTTTTGGGTTGACCTTCTAGTTTTATAAATAAATGAAAATTTCTCCATAAACAGAATAAACTGAGGGACTCCACATAGATTCATTCTTGCAATTGTCTTAATGACCAATACTGATGACTTCAGACAAATCATTCATTTGAGAATTCACATACATTCTAGCAAGATCATTCATTTAAAGCTATTGCTGAAAATATTTGACATGGAAATTGAGACAATCATTCATTTCCCTACTTAAAAATCAAAGTCATAAAAATTTTTATATACTACGTAAAAATAAAAGTCATAAAATATTATATTCAATTATAAACTGCCATGGCAAGATGAAATTAAAAGAAATTTTTATTTAAGATTTTGTTTCATGAGCCATGGAGACAGATTGCCTAGTTTTGAGTCTGTAATCCACCACTTACTAGTTGTGTAACTTTATGCAAGTTTTTAAAATTCTCTGTGACTCAATATAAAATAGAGATAATAATAGATAATAATAATAATAGATAAAATAGAGATAATAATAATAGTGTTATTGTGAAGACTAAATGAATTAACACATATAAAGCACTTAGAACAGTTCCTGGAACCACAACATTATTGTATGTGTTGATAATTGTTGCTGCTGTTACTAAAGAAAATAAATAACAGTGTTTGTATATCCTGCACTCACAATGACAGATACATGAGTCTAATCCTGTATAGGAAAAAAAATGAACTTGAATTCTAGTATTAACTCTGCCTTTAAGTAGCTATCACTTAGGACAAGTCATTTAATCACTCTGTGCCTTATTTTCCTCATTAACGTAAGGAGCATTGGGGTTCATCTCTAAGATCCTTTCTTGTTCTAACATTCTATGATTGAAATAAGCTTTAATCATAAATCTGTGATCATTTGCATAATGAATCTCAATTATGTGCAATGCTATAGCTTTAGAGAATTTTACTTCACCATTCCATATGTAAAGTCAAATTATCTTATTGTCATCAACTGCATATTTCATAAAATTTTAATTGATTTAAAACTGTATGCTTTGTTTTTGGTAGGTAGTGATTTATGGCTGTTTCTAGCTTGGTAACAAATAGCGTTATATAATTTGGAATGGAAACATTGTTTTAAAAGAGTGTTTTAATGACTATTTGCCATTTTCAAGGTTATTTTGGTAATAAAATTTCCCCTCAAAATTTTATGTCTTGGGCCAGTCCAGTGGTCTAGTCGTTAAGTTTGGCATGCTCCGTTTCCACAGCAAGGGTTCAGTTCCTGGGTTCAGACTTACACCACTCATCTGTCAGTGGCCTCGTTGTGGTGGCAGCTCACATACAAAAAAAAAAAAAAAACAGGGGCTGGCCCTGTGACACAGTGGTTAAGTTCACTGTGCTCTGCTTCAGCAGCCTGGGTTTGTGGGTTTGGGTTTCCAGCGTAGACCTATATCATTCGTCAGTCATGCTGTGGCAGTGATCCACATATAAAGTGGAAGAAGATTGGCATGAATGTTAGCTCAGGGCTAGTCTTCCTCAAGCAAAAAAAGAGGAGGATTGGCAACAAATGTTAGTTCATGGCTAATCTTCTTCAGGGAAAAAGAAAGAAGATTGGCAGCAGATGTTAGCTCAGGGAGAATCTTCCTCAGCAAAAAAAAATATGTATATATATAAGTCCTGATAATATTTTCAAGAAGGATATATTCCAATGACATTTAACTTTCCATATTATTATGATTAGTTTTGAAATGCTTAAAGTGACCAATTTATTCCTTTGATGAAATAGGAAACATATATTGACTCATTGGATGATGAGTTTACTTAATATTTGAAATTTTTAAGAAGGAGTATAAGTTAGAGAAAGTGTGGAGTTATTTTAATTGGATAATTGTAAGATATCTTGAAGCCCTGTAATCCAGCATGGTGTTGAAAATACTGAAGCAAACACATCTTACAAAATCAAATGATTTTTGAAATATTATTTCCAACTAAAATATATCATCATGATTTTGTATTGAAGATGATAAAAATTCAACTTCTGTAAAGTTGATCAATTTAAAATAAAAACATAATTAAAACCTGTTATAGCTGACAACTACAACATTGCACCTTCAAAATTTTCCACTAATTACAGCTGCTAATTTTCAAGAGGCACTGTTAAAGTGAGTCAGATTTGACATAAGGACAGCATCTCCACCTCTTTTTTTAATTCAGAAGAAAAATTTTTTTAAACAAAATATTTCCAAGTATATTGTCTATCCAGCCAGTGCTTTTGTTACAGATTGCTTTTTCTTTTTTTGTTGTTGGAAAATAAATATTATTTTGCAAACATTATAAACAATAACTGAAAAAAAACCACCAACAACAAAACTGAAAACAAAAAAACTACCTGTTACCTATTAAAATCTGTAGACTCTAAACTCTGAGGCTTAGCATTCAAGGTCCTTAATTAGTTCCTTCTAACGTATGCCTGTCTCATTAATATATAATCCATGACCTCCCCTCTTCAGCCAAGCCAACATCCACTCTCTAGCCATACTATTTTCCACATCTTCTCTGGTCATCCAAGGTCATCATCTGCTTCAAGGCATTTCATAACTCATTTCTTCTAAGAAACTTTCACAGATTAACATCACATGGGGAATATCCGAATAAGCATAAGAGTAAGAATAATGTTAAATGTAAGTGCTTAAGGGACCTGTCGTTAAAATATGACAACTATGGAGAAGGCAGTTGGCAAAGTCCTGGAGCAATGAGTTTTGTTTAACTTTAATTTGGAAAATAATCTTATTAATAATTGTTGTGTATCATGTGCATTCACGCAGCACATCCCTTACTCATCTATTCTTTCTCTTTCACTCTTTAAAAGGTGTCCAGATTATTGTTTTGAACTGAATGTCTTGTTTAATAAAAATTTTTACCTTGGTTTAATTTGGCTTTGCTATCTTAATGATAAACCGATACTAAGAAAATAGGGACTGTGCTTCCTAATTTTTTTGTAACTCTGCCCTACTATCCCAAGTTCCTTTGAAAGCACGCCTGGTACAAATATCAGGTCTTTAAAATGTTGTGTGCATGTTAAGAAGCAATAAAGAATAAGATTAAATCAACCTGCCAATGATTAAACTACAAACTGTCTTATTCATGGCAGTTTGTAAACTCAAGCTGTTGGCAAATGTAGTAATAATGTGATGAGCTATGTTCCAATATCTGTAAGGGGCTTGAATAATTTGGGAAAGACTCTGAGGCACTAGAAAAACTTGGAGGAGCAGAGGATTTGGAAGGGGCTGTGGAAGAAACTTGAAAAGACTGGGGGTACTAACAAGAGACAAGGAATGATTTTGAGGATTGGGATGAGCTAAGAGAATAAGAAGTACTCATCGAGTCTAGGCAGGACAAGGAGGGACGGAAACTAACCGGGAGAAATTGAGGTGAATAGAGATGAGGAAACTAAGGAGTGAGTAGAGACTTGGAAAAATTACAGAAACTCAAAATGACAGTGAGGAATTTGGTGAAACTGTAGTGGAACTTAGAATGACTTCAATGAATGGCAGACTTGAGGGACTGAAAAATACAGGGAAGGAGTGGGGAGATTTGATGGATTTGGGAGGTCTTAGGCACCATTGAGAGTGGACTTGAGTACCTGAAGAAAATGATGGGGCGAGAGAGAGGAGGAGTGGAGATAATGGAAGAGAATAGCGAAAATAATAACATGAAAAGTAAACAAAGCTTGTTTAAATCTTTTCTTCCCTAAGTAAAGATTAAAGTGCCTGAGGAATTTTGCATTGACGAGAACTTTTAAGATATTTATTCTTATAGCAATGTGGGGAGGGGGGCACATATTTCACTCTTTCTTTGTGCCACATGGAAGAGAGAAACTGAGAATGGGAATTTGTAACAAAGAACTTAAATACATTATTTTAAAATATAAAAAATATTGCATTATTATGTCACAAGTACCGTGAGAAGGTTGAGGGGCTACACTGGAAGAGAAGTTAATCACTGTCTATAAACTTCAATGATTTTTGAAAAAATTAAAACCTCCCATGACACTTTGAACATTATTTCAAATTTTGTTTAATTAAATAGAATCTTAACTTTTATTTACTTAAATGGAGATTGAGAGGATGGTTTACTAGCTTATTTAATCAAATCATCATCCTACCAGTGCAAGAAATTCCATATATTTATTCATGAGAAGAATCTCTGGTTTGCTAGTTTTGTATATATTTTGTTAAGCACCTTCTACGTATATGTACCAGGCATTGGAAATGCAAAAATAAGGAAGAACAGTCCCTCTACCCAGGGTATTCATAGTCCACAGAAGAAATATTAGTCTTGAAAATAGGTATTTCTGTAATTTATCGGTATATGGATAACTAATGGTCCTAAGGACATCTCTGCATGATCTAAAAGGGCTTTTAAGTCTTCATAGGTTACAATCAGTAGGGTGGTAGTGTTGTATCTTTTCTCAGAATTGATTCTCTAGAAATTGATAACACATTGATGACATATGTGGTTCATCCACACGAAGAGAAATATTTACTATAATTTATGGGATCTTTGTTGTTGTTTTACATCTCTCCCCACATGATATCAATCAGTAAATTGGAATATGGCCTTCCTTCCCCGCCCCCATCCATTCTGACTGTTAACACTTTAAGCTTTACGCAAATCTTTTAAGGAAAAAGAAAAGTTAAAACACTAAAAACGGGAATTCAGATAAAATTTGTACTCCTGAAAAGACCCAGAGGGAGTGTGACTTTTATGGTATTTAACATATATAAGACTCACCTTGAAATATCTGAATTAAAACCCACTTTCGTACAGTCCTCATAGTGCTCTGCAATCAGCTGTGGGGTGGAGGATGAGAAGAGGGAGGGGAAGAAAAAGATCTTTGCCTCCAGTACAATGAAATCAATTGAACCTGAATAAAACAGATGCGCTAAAAAGATGGGGCTTCACTAACCCAATGCTAGTCTAGGTGGGAGGTTACACAGCAGGACCTCCAAGGTCCCTTTAGTTTCAGGGATGCAATGATTCTGTATTCCCTGACAGATAAAGCAGCAAATCATTCACGACTCTGATATATAAGCACAAAATATTCCAGGAATTCAAAATGAGGAAAAGTCACTGTTACCCTTATTTGTCTGCTACGGGAAGCTTACATAAAAATGTCATATCCACTAATCAGGCTTTCCCCCTTGGACTGTTATAACAGGTCTGTAAACCAAACATATAGAACTGGGAATCTGCAGTAGATTTATGAAACAGTAGAATGCACAGATTCAATGTGCTATATATATGGACTAGGTGTGATCTTAGCCCCACTGGCTAGTAATATTTATTTCCTGAAACTGAGGGAAATGATCATGCCTTGAATATTAATCACATATTCTATCACTAAGAATTCATAATTACCTACATATTAAATTTAATTTTCTTCAGTTACGAAACTGATCTTAGCTATAATGCTTCTTGATATTAATTCATACTATCTTAGAGGGGACTTTCTAATTCTGTAAGGAGGATAGCAAAACATTGTCTCACCCAAGCTTGTCAGCTTCTTCACAAGACTATAAAGTTGAGAGCAGCTGAGGCAAGACCTCTCTGGCATGTGATCTGTGGAATGCTTCTTACTCACAAAAGGGTTTTCCTGTAGTAGGTCAAACACTTCGAGTTGGATTTCAAGAAACCACAAATCTAAATTCAACAAGTAGACAACATACGACAGAGGTCCGTCATTACATGGAAGGATCCTCCAATTTGCTGTAATGGCTACAAATCAAGAAAAGGTTAATGATTTTTGCACAATTTTAGATTTTGGAAAAGGGGAAGGAAGGCATAGAAAGCTTGTGATTTCAATAGGATCTTATGGATCTCTCTTGGATTAAAAAACAAAAAGTCCACAATACTTTTGGAGGTAGGGTATGCTGGAGAGGTATTTCCAGGCTTTAGAATAGAAGAAGCTTTTAAAATTTTGGAAGGCCAGCCTACACTGTTGCACTCTTAATTCTAATTAAGTCAGATCTGTTAAAGAATTTAATGTATATTTATGTGGAAATTATGGTAATTTACTACCTACTTATATTTTGATTTATATTGGTGTTGCAAAAAGTTATAGATTAAATGAAAATGTGATCAGAATGGTATTGATTATAAATGTTCCTCTTTGGGAGAAAATTGTTTACATTGTAAATGACTGTAAATTATACTTTTTAATGTGGGAAATGAGAATCCTATGCTTTGTTGTTTTATGATTATGACCTTCCTAGAATTTCAAAGACATGTTTCTCCTATCCACTTCTCCATCAAAACTTTCTAGAGTAGTGCTATCCAATAGAAATTTCTGTGATGATGGAAATATTCTGTATCTATCTACATGATTTAATATGGTAGCCACATGTGACTATTAATCACTGGAAATGTGGCTAGTGCAACTGAGAAAATGAATTCTTAACTTTATTTAGTTTCAATTTAAATTGCCACATGTAACTAGTAACTACCATATTGGACAGCACAGTTGAGAGGTAGTTAATATTCTGTATTTAATTTAAGGTATGCATAAATTTACTCAAGGAAAATGTGTTTTGTTAGGATACTCCATCCTCTTCCATCCATCCATCCAGTTGATCTTCAATTTTTAACCATCCTCACTGTGTGAAACACTGTTAAGTTTATATAATAAAGGAGCTTTACACTATCTTAAGTTTATATAGTGGGGAAGATAAGAAAGACTTGTGCAAGATTAATAATACATTGAATAGGCTAAGTGACAAAGGAAAGAGTAAAGTGTTGTGGAAGTACCAAAGAATGAGAACACTTTTGGAAAATGGGATTAGAAAGATGCTCATGTAAAAAGTAGTTCTGTAAATGTTTCTGATAAGTGGTTGCAAGGTATAGGAAAAAAGTAAGGGAAAGAGACTGCAAGATAAAAGTCTGAAGTTTAGTCTGGAATGTGAGGATAAGGAAGAAGGAATACTTCAAGGCGTTTCAAGTCTGAGTGACTGAAAATGTCAGTGCCAAGAACACATAAGGTAAAGTCAGGAGAATGAACATGTTTTGTACGACAGTGTTGAGAGTAAATAAGAAAATGTATTTTAATCTAAGATCTCCATAAAAGTTATTTGATTTTAAAAATTTATTTGTTGTAAAAGTTAAGAGAGTTAAATTTTAGCCATTGAACTAACTTTATATGTTAATTGTAACTGTACTAATAGTAAATAAGATCAATATGAAGGTCAGATATGCTTAAAGAGGCCTCTAGTAAAGTGTGATCATCAATCATCCATCTAAACTTTCATCTTGGCCTCTATAAAGACTAAAGGTTAGGATAGCTACAGTAAGGGTAGCTTAACACAAATATATGTGAATTTCACTTTAATTCCTGTATAGAATTCTTTTGGGGCAGTGTCAGATAACCTAAGATATATCAAATTTTTTCTTGCCCTAGGCGAGTGCCTTAAATTCCTCAGCAAGTATTTCATTCTGTATTAATCTAAAAGCAAAGATCAAGACACTTCGGGGAAGTAGACATCCTTATAATGTGATATAGGTCACTAATAAAATACCATAAATATAGAGTGATGGATGTATTTAGCGATGGACTTGCTGATGCTCAGATCCATCAATGGTCCTTTTGAACAAAAATTTATTAAAATTATTTAATTTAAATAAAAGTTAACATTTATCTAAGGAGCTCATTGTTCTTTTTGTTTTGATTCTCTGAATTAATGCTCATTATTTTGACCAGAAAATAATTTTTCCTTCCTTTGCAAATAAAGAGAGAATTTAAGATTTCTATAGTTTGAATAAATACGTTTTTAAATAAAGAATCAGGTATTTAATGGAAATACCTAATTAGTTTGAATGTACTTTGAAGTTTATGAGATAGTCAGTGTTGTATCTTTGCCATTAATAATGACCAGGCCTATAATAGGCTAAAGTTATTTTCATAGCTGAATTTTCATCTCTGGATTCATAGAGCTAACAGCTATGGGTGCCATTTCTTTTGAGGCAATTATGATTTCCAGGAATTTGATTAACATGAGTGCTCATTTTCTCCATTAATAAGAAACTTGAAATTTGAGAAGTTGTAGCCCTTTACATTTAATATTTTATGAACTGGTCAGGTGCACTTTATGACTTAGGGGCTATGCCCATGTAGGTAACTTTCTTCCAACTAGAGTAATATGTAAAGATCAAGAGGTTGTGGATATAGAGTTTACCGACACATGGATTCTTAACTCCTGGAATTTCTGCCCTCTGATAAAAAATATCTCTATTAGCTTGTCCACCCCATGGTATGTTGATGGGCAAATTAAAATATTATTTTTATGATCTTTCTCTCTATCTCACACACAGACACACCACTTTTATCACCAGTTAAGAACATAAGTGGCAAATGTCTAAAGGCTGAATCATATTTATCTCCTCTAATCACTTTTGGTTCTTAGTAACGCAACATGTCAATGTGCCTAATTCACTCCAAAACATAATTGTCTACAAGAATAATTTTAATTAGTAATTGACTTGATGGCACATTTATAATACATGTATTTTAAAGGTAGTTGCTCTGAAATTCAACGTGAAGTTGCTCTACAACATGGAAGCCAAAATATAGCTAACTGAAGTTGACCACTTCTCAGAGAATAGTTTCCTCCTTGGTGAATTCTGTTACAATAGAGCTGGGATGGCCAATATTTAATATTTTGTGTTCTATTTTAACACTGTTAGCTGGATGACTTACTAGTAAATTTGTATAATTTCAAAGTGAAGCAAAACTTGCTTTACAGCCTAAGCATATTTATTGTAAGAAAATTCGATAATGGGTGAAACAGCAAATTTCAGGTACAGCGTTAACACAATGAAGTACCTGCCAGGTGTTGAGTCCAAATAAATATTATATATTTACTAACTTTGGTGTGCATTGTACAGAATGGCAAGCGATTATGCAAATTTCCAGGTGTAGGAAAAAAACAGAGGCTGCAGTAATATTAAAATGTTTGAAAGGTTAATAGAAAGCAACATGCTACTTTCATAACTTACTTTCCTCTAGTTAGCCAAAGCACTTTCACCAGTTCAGATAATGAAATTCCGTGACTTTTGTCCTTGAGACTCTGAGGATTTACTAAGAACACTTGGGATTAAAACAATGACAAATCTTCAAAAGAACTGTCATTCATAAGTATTTCCAGGTGTAAGAAAAAGGTATTCTAATGGTTTTAAGTTTAAGAGAGAGTCAAGCAAACAACCGCATGGCTAAAAGAGGTTGACAAGTCTGACCTATGATTTTGCTAATATAGAAGAAAATCACAGAAAGGTGACTGGGGAGAGAGGAAACTAACATATCAGCCAAAGGAAACACACTGCACTCCCTTCTTCAACAGTCTCCACTAGACAACCATCTTCATTGGTTCATTCAAGCTTATGAATTAATTTATGAAGTCCAGACGCTGTCTGCCTTAGATATTGATTCTTCCTGTTCACCTTTACGTCAATAAGGTATACTAAGAAGCTTCTGTTCAAAGTTAAACTATTTGAACTTTATTGAATTTGGAGCATTTATCTCATAGACTCTCCCTGATCCTTAGATGCATAGGTCTGAAGGACCACATCTTTGGTATTTTTTTTTTTTTTAAAGATTTTATTTTTTTCCTTTTTCTCCCCAAAGCCCCCCGGTACATAGTTGTATATTCTTTGTTGTGGGTCCTTCTAGTTGTGGCATGTGGGACGCTGCCTCAGCGTGGTTTGATGAGCAGTGCCATGTCCGCGCCCAGGATTCGAACCAACGAAACACTGGGCCGCCTGCAGCAGAGCGTGCGAACTTAACCACTCGGCCACGGGGCCAGCCCCACATCTTTGGTATTTTTAATAGTAGAAAACTTTCGTCTTTATTCAAATTTCACGGAAGCTATGAGGAAAATGTTGTTTCCTCTGCTCTTCTGTACATGTTCAGATGTAATAGCGTGAATACAGTTGGTAAAGGAAAACAAGAAGGAATATAATAAACACTAGCCTAAGTCGACATCAAGAAAGTTTCTGAATTTTTTGCTGTTGTATTTTTCCCGCACTCAATAATCGTGGTCAAGTACCAAATTCCACATTGGATATTATCCTTCAACCAGTTTAAGCCTAAAACTAAACTCAAATTTTAACTAGCTTATGCAAATTTAATTTGCATAGAGAAATTTAGTTCTTCAGTGAGATTAAAATTCCCATCACCTGGGTGCCTTATTAGTTAAAAAGTAATAGGGAAATAAGCCCCACAGGTAAGGTAACTGAAATTTACACTCTTTGTGACTTACTTATCATCTTGAGAAAAGTTTTTTTTGTAGTTTCAGATTTCTGTGGGCTAGAATTTTTTAAACAGGTGTACTGTAGAGATTATGACAAATCGTCGTTTAGAGAATTTAAGATGTCTAAGAGAATTGTCACAACCATGAAAGGTGAGAAACATTAAATGCCCATTCTCTCCTTTTCAAACAAAACAACTTTTTTCTAGTAGAAATCAAACTCTTTAAGTGGCTGTGCTTCAGCAAACACAAGACATTCCTTCACTTTCATTCTCTTTATTCTTCTACTAAGTGTTATTTTTAGCATACCTCAAGACAAGGGGATAAAACAGAAATATTTGGTCCCCATTTTCAAAGATTAGTAAATCCTTAGAATATTCATTATAAGTGGGTCAAAACATTTAACCA